CTTACTGGCATCGCTAATGAATTTTGTACAGCGATTCGCTGCATTCTCAGTTTTAATAGCTCTCTTGTGACGCTTTTCGTTAGGTAATACCAAACTTTTTAGACTGTAAGGGCTCTTGAGTACATAACTGTTATTTTGTTATTGCGTAAGTCAAAACTGGAGACTTTTCTTTAAAGAAATGTTAGACAGCAAGGCCATCGTAAGAAATGAAAAGTTGGGACTTCAAAGATGTAGTCAGTGGCAGAAAGTTTTGCGGATATTAATATTATAACATTATATAATCTAGATCAGCGATCGGATTCAATTTGTGCGAATTCTTATACCCCGAACAACAAACACATTTGCCGAAAAGCATACGGAAAAAGAAAATGCGGCTGAGGGTCTAATTTGCGTATACACAGACGGACAGAAAGATATGGCCAAATTGACTCAGCTGGTCATGCTGATCATTTAAAAATTTGTACACAACACTGTAAAAGACAGGCTGACTTTACCTCTCCATAAACTATTTCAAAAATCGCTCACATGTCAAACCACGACGAAGATGAAAAATACAAAATGAAATTCAGCAAAAGGTTTATCATTTAAATGCTACTTTCATAAAAGCTCAACTTCATAAAAGAGAAGCATATCATTATTTCTCCCCACCCGCTCCGCTGTCGGTAAATTACATAGCAATCTAATGAGCACAGACAGCTAAACAAGCATTTTGGGTGGCGAAATAGAACACAAAAATCACAATAAACACAGCTTAATACACCATAATAATTGTTGTCATCTTTTAATTGGGCGCACAGCCACTCGGCTGATACCCGACTTTGTAGTCTGTGTCTGTGTCTGCGCCTCCCAGTAGAGCAATTTCGCAGACGAACCGTGTGGCTAAATGCTGGTTGTCCGCTGCCTATTACCAGTCAAAGCTAAATGTCTGTCGGCACGCGGCCTATCGCACTTGTTGCTGGCTCGCTAGATGCGCGCCTGTCTGTCAGTATGACAGGCCGACTATATGACAGACTGGCAGTCCGTCAGTCGGTCAATCAGACAGTCCATCAGTGCGTCAGTTAGAGGCAAATGAGGCTTGTGGCAACACTGCGCGAAGTCACCTATAAGAAGCAGCGGTAGATGGGAAGCCCTTTAACCATCGCCAAGTGCATTTAATTGCATTCGAAGGCCTCACACGAGCACTTATACACACTCAAACATCTACTAACACATACACGCCGAAATTGTGACATTTGCGTAGCTTTGTGTGTAAAGCGATTTATTTTGTGGCAACACTGCTGTACGCTTATGTGTGGCTAATGCCAAATTATTTGCTGCCAGATGTTGTTGTTAATGCATTGACTCACACGAGCGTATACGTGTGTGTGTGTGTGTGCGTGCACCATTGGTGATTCATACTGACGCATTATTTGATGCGCATCGCATGTTGTTGCCAGCTGTGGCTCGAATTTATGTACATACCCAAACACACATTGAGTTATTCGTATGCGCGTTATTTACACACACACATCTGCACTTATGAAATGCACGCACGCGCAGCTTACGTGTCTATTATACACATATGTATATATGGCATTGTAACTTGCAACATGCCACATTAAAAGCGATTTCTCGCCTGCTCAAATGCAATTTATTATGATTTTATTTTCTCTTGTTGTTCTTTTTGTTCTTGTTGTTGTTTTGTTGCCTGCTCCTAATTCTAATTATTTAATTTAAATTTTTCGTTTTCGTTGCATACTTTACGTTATTAATATTATTACTTTTTTTCCTCGGCTGCGTGCAATTTTGCATGCACAAGTTTATTGTTGCTGTTTTTGTCAGTTCTTCTTCTCTATGGCACGTAATCTGATTTGCTTATGTTGTGCACCTGCTGCTGCTTCTTCTTCTTCTTCTTGCCACATGCATTTACTTGTTGCTCAGCCACTGCTGCCACTGCCACTGCCATTATTATTAACATTATTAATTTTTCACTATGTTGTTGTTGTAATTTTACGTTTTATTGCGCGCAGTTTCTGGTTATTGTTGTAGTTTTTTTCTTTTTTTGTATGGCAGCCGCACTAAGTGGCATTGTCAGAGACGCATCACTCGCTCGCATCATCTCAGCTGCCGCTACGCATGCGGTAAATGCAACATGTGGCATGGTGCAATGGTTGGTTGACTAGCGCGCTGCCAAGCAATGGGGACGCCCTAGGCAAAGCACAATGGCAGCAATTATATAGTATATCGTATTTTTTTGTTGCAGCAACCGCTTGCAACAAAACTACAAACAAAATCACTTCGTTGTGGCATTTTCAGTCACGGCGCAGCTAACACCTTGCCACCACTGCCACCTTGGCTCCCTTTAGTTTTCTTTGTAGCTTTGCACTCGCATTGCATGCAACATCGAGAAAAAAATATATATTTTTTTTGTTGTTGCTTTTCACTATTGTTGTTGTTGTCGCTTGTTGTTTTACTCAACTCGTCTGATTATTAAGTAGAATTTGATTTTGTTAATTAGTTTTCGTTGCTTTTAACTTTACATTAAAAACTACACTCCTACTACAGCATTAATATGATGCAACAACACTAACAACAACAGCAAAAAATACACAGCTAATTACATGTACAACCGCATTAGTAACAAAATCAGCAAATCAGCTATACCCATGCAAAGTGTGGATGGAGTGCATATATTAATGTTGCACTTGCAACATGCCATCATATTCAAAGCAAACGCTGCAAAAATGTATCGGCACGTTCCTTCCTCCAATAATAAATAAAATTGTCTCTTCATAGCTGTTTTTGTGCTTGTTCTTGTTTTTGGTTTGCTCATTAATTTATTTATTTGTTTGTTAGATTCGTTGCAAGTGGCATGTGGCACATATATTTAACGAAATTAAGGCGCACAAAGTGCCACTCAGATGGCCGCCTCCAATGATACCGATGCAAGCGTCATTGTCACAATTCGCCCACGAACTGCGTGCGCCTCTGTAGCCAGCATGTATATGTGTGTGTGTGTGCGCACCTTTGCTCAGCTGCTAATTGCATTGCAGTTCGGTTCTTTGGCGCATTTTCTCTCGGCCGTTTGTAAATTATGCTGTCTCCCTCAAAGTGCAGACACGCACGCACTTGCAACAATTGAAAACAATTCCTAATTCAGGTGCATTTGTGTGTGTGTGTGTTTGTCTTCAAAATTTATTGCTCCTTGCGACAATAATGTCGTTGTGGCACGCACTTTTTACACCGTTTCGCTAATTTTTACGATTTTATTTTGTATAAATTTGTTTTAATAAAATGTTATCTTTATGCCAGCTGAATTGAGTTGTTAGTCCGAAAGTGTCTTAATAAGGTCCGCTTAGTGGGAATTAATACATAGTGTAAAGATTGGCTCTAGGTAGGGGTGTATTAATTTTTATTAAATAAAGCATGTCTTTATTTAAAATAATGATTTCTTTAAGTGCCACATAAATATACACGATGTTCCTATTACAAATTGTTTTATACATGTTTGTTTTTTTTTTGTAGAAAGCTGAAAAGCTCCGATTATTCACAGTCTAAGTGTTTTTAAGAGCTTCTGACACTATATCATTTATCTAGTGAGAACTAGGCTCTGAGAAATGACACTCCATTATACTAAACTTACATTTTTAATTTTTGGTTCACAAAAAATCACTTATCAAGAAACTATAGAGATTTCCATCAACTGTAAAGGCTTTCGAAAAAAAAAGCTTTAAAAAAGAGTTGGTAATTCAATTCATTAAGAAAAACTCCCGCCGAAAAGAGCTGCCACAGATAAAATAAGGAAAATACTAAAACAGAAAATGAAAAAATTTTCAGTTGATGGCTATTATGGTCCACCATGATATATTAGATGATCAAGTCACACTACCTCGTAAAATCAATCCTCCGTTCACCAAAATACGGAACGCAAAATATATACTTTTTGTACAAGATGTGTTCGATACAGCTGGATATGGTCGCTTTAGGCTATTCACAAAGAATTTCGTTATCCTGGACAAGAACCGTCTGCTCACTCTAGATGTCTTCTCCTTTCTTTTCCTTTCTCTATTATACTTTCTTCTTTATAATATAGTTTAAGAATTACGCATTTACGATAAAAACACAGAATATTATTATTTTCTGGAACTTATAATCTCTATTCAACATCGAACAGTGCATTATCAATTTTTTGAAGGTATGGATTCAAGCTGTAGAATTAGTACAACCGGGGCAAAACCTAATACAATACAATATTTTCTTTTCAAAGTCTTAATTTAAGAAAAGGGCATGCCTTGAAACTAACAAAAAAAATTTTTTTTTATTTTTATAATAATAATTAAAATTGTTAACCATGTCAGCGCCATTTTTTCCGCCGATAAATGTTTACGCTTTTGGAGTTAGTAGCAAAACTAATATCCTTACTCCTTCTAGAAATATATATACGACAAGACAAATTGAGATTCAATGGAACATGAATAGTATCAATAATACATTTTGACTAGACCAATAACATAGTGTTTTTTGACCTCAGTTATGCTTGAAGGTTTCTGCAAACGTTGACCTTCGTTGAGCTCCAGCGAATAGTGGTTTTCTGATTTCGTTTCCGTAAGTCCTTACCACTGAATCTCAGTTAGTTCATATTTTTTATCCACTATTTATATACGGCTAGCATTTAAGGAACTTTGTTATTGGTCTATTGGCACGGAACTAATCAAATACAATTCTCAAAGTAACGCCTCTCAACTTACATGATCGGATAATACAAACGATACCCAAGTCAAAAATGTAAGACCATAGCTAACGCAATGATTCAAGAAATATGGTTTGCTATGGCAATTGCTTGCTTTGAGATTGTAGAACTAAAAGATTAAATAACATTTGGGTTGATTAGTTAGAATGCATTAATACAAGAAATTAACTATAAACTAACATATTTCTTATTCCGTTCCGAAAACCTCTAACGCGTAGAATCATTATTCAAAAACGGCGCCGAAATAAATAACTCAAATGCAAGCAACAAAGCCAACCACCCAAATAGGCAACCGAGAATAAGTAAAATCGTAGCTAACAAAAACAACAGCAACAATAACTACAACAAAGCAAATAACCGAAGGCAAATGACGAAAATAACGTCCAATGGCAGCGCAGCGACTGTGACGAACACAAATTTGTGACTACAATTAGCAGTTTTTGTTGGTATTAGTGTTGGTGGTGGAAATGGTGGATAGTTGCGGGTAGTAATATTTGCTATTGTTGTAGGCGTAATTTATTTTTTAGTTTCATTTTTCGACAACAATACAAACGACATATTTGGTGGCCAATGCTTTACTCACTTTTTTGTTACGCTACATTGTTGTTGTATTTGGCATTGTTGTTTTTGATATACACACTCCTACTCACACATTTGAGTAATGCTAAGAATAAGCCAATTGTAACTGGTTGACGTTAAAAGCGGGCAACACAAACAGCAAACAACAACCACAATGATATACAAACAACAACAGCAAGTGCCGAACAATGAAGTATCAAATTCAGCAGCAACAACAGCGCAACAACTAAAACGCAAACAAACGAAATAAAAAATCATCAACTTGGACCTCACCTTGAATGCGCCAACTGAAATGCAACGTGCCGCCACCCCAAAACCACCGCCGAACGTCAAACACCAAAAGCCGAACGCGCTATACCGCTGCCCCGTCGCTTTGCCTTGAATGCAGCTGCGTATTTTGTGGTATGGAAATTGCCAGACTTACTTATGTTTGTTGTTGTTTTTGCATTATTCCTATTTTTCTATTAACATATTTGCTGCTTTTAGCTGCTGCTTTTTAAATATTCGCCATAAATAAACACACGCACACATAGACACATACATACACACAAATATTCGCACAAATTTGGTTTGACTATTGAAAATGGCGTAAAAAATATAGAAAATAAATTACTAATCAAAGAAAGAAGCAAAAAATCGAAAAAAAAATACATTTAAAAAAACAACAACAAAAAACTGGTTATGCCAATGAAAATAAATATGAAATGAATAGCGCTCAGCAGAATAAATAAAATCGCAACGAAATTGTATGTGTGGCATGGCGTGGCATTTCCTCAAATTTCCTTAATAAATAACAAATAGCAATAATTTCATGTGTGCAACAACAACGACAGCAGCAGTTGCAGTTTCAAATAGAGATTTATTACACAAATAACAAAAGCGAAATTATTCAGATAAATAAATTGAATAATAAAAAAATAACAAAAAAAAATCAGCTGTACTTGAGAATTTCATCATGCAATTCTATACGTCGTGGAGGTAAACTGGCCGAAAGTCTTGCGAGCGGTGCGACAGGGGAAGAGAGCAGCACGCGGTGCCAGACTCAGCGCTTGTATTTCATAACATTCTAGAGCTTCGAAATTTATCGACAAATCCTCAAATCATATGGTCCACCCAAGCTTATGCGGAAGTGTTCTACCGACACTGCATATTGTAAACTTATATTGATAAATATGGTACTATTTTGCTATTATGCTATTTTGATGACCGCATTAGCAGGAAGTTGAAACGGGAAACAATATGGAATTTTGTTAAAAAAATATTTCAGTAACATTGAAACTCATTAGATCATAGTTTGCAGTAAGAAAATATTGGTGATATGCGAATCTATTATATTTTGGAGAATGAAAAAATAACAACACTTAAAGAGATAACTTGAAAATGTAAAGAACTATATATATATATATATATATATATAAATACTAAGCCAGTTTTTGTTGTAAGTGAGTGGCCAAAGAATGTTCAATTGGAAAAAAAATATGCTTCCAAATTCCTATAAGTATATTATTTGATGAAAAACATATTCCGAACTCAACACTAGCAGCCTTCAATTCGTCATTACTTTCGGTTTATCCGCACTGCTCTCTTGTAAAATAATTCACGAAAGAAAGTAATAACAAAGTTAAGGTAGTATAATCGCATTCCATACTATATTCTTTGATAAAGCTTTTATAGAAGATTTATACCAGTTTTTATTATTTAGCTGTCTGTTCGATTCGGTACAGTTCAAGCATTGACGAATCGATTGTAGATTCGGCAATCATAATCAACAAACTACGACTAAATGTTAATATAACAAACTTTTTAATAGATATTAACATTCAACGGATAATTGGCCTGTGGTATGCGATTACTGTAGCCATTCGAATAATTTTGAGAGCTCTACTTGATATGTGATAAATTTATACTTGCGTCGATGAACATTTTTGGTTCGGCAATGGAACCCATTGCTATCATTATAGAGAGACCAAAAAATTGGTTGACGCTACTGGAGCGGCACAGATTTTTCTACAATATACTCATATTGAGGAATGCTACTCTTGTTTGTTTGGCGTAATCTGTTCCGCTTATGTAAATTCTACTAAGAAGGAAACGGAACATTAAACTATTAACTATAATCGCCTACCACACATTTATTGATACTATACTTAGTGCTGTTAAATTGTGCTTTTTTTTATAAATTAATATACATGTATTCAATATACTGAGCGTAGAGCTAAAGCTTATCAACATAATGATATGCTGTGCGCTTAAATGTATGCTTTGCGTGATTAATAGTTGCCTACTTTTCGACGCTTGATAATTTGTTCTATATAATTAATTGCTAAACATTTTCAATATAAATAATCCTCGGTACTTTAATCGTTCTCAAAAGAAAAAGCGCCGGCGTAGGCCAAGTTAACCTCTTTGGCATCTAGCTTATTGATAGGAGTGCCAAATTTGATCTGCTGATCACTGCCAAGGCTACTAACCATACATATGTAACGAGATGTTAAATAAGAACAATTTTTGAATGAATGAAATTTGATCCAAAAAACATCAAGTACAATTTAGTGACAAAGACTAAAAAAACATACACCTAGGTTGGTAGTATAAGAGGGCTTAAAATAAAAGTCGTATGATACGCTTCTAGTCGATCGGTCCAGCCGTTTTGGCGAAATTTTCCTTTTTTATGTACATTCGATATACATGTAGTTGTAGTAGAAGTACTTAGTACAATACGGTAAAAAGAGACATCGGTTTTTTGTGAGCTGAAAACATAGAATTGTTGAGTATAGTATTAGCTGAATATATTTACTACCGATAGCCGTACATAGGGACAACTGCAATTCGTAGTATAAAACTTGAAACTATTTACCGATGAAATTATGCCAAATTCCAATTAGGAAATAAAATATAATACTTCTTGGATCTCCAAATTCTAGCTAGCAATTCAGCTACTTCACGCCTTCCAATGTGATAATAAGTTACTAAATATATGACAAATTTAATATCTCCTTCTACAGCAGATAATATAATATGACTACCTGAGCTTACTTCTGCTTATTAAGCCACTTAACAGACTGTCATTTCCCTGCAATCAGTCGGCAGCTTTAATCTGATTACAAACACAGCGAATATTAATTATGAAGCCAAGTTCCACATTCGTCTTATTAATTAATAGCAAGCGTTTCCTACAACCCAAACACATACATACGAACATATAAACTTACATATACATATGTGCAGCAGACTTTAATAACCGTTAATGCAGTTAATCGCAGCACAATTCTGAAATTAAAATATAAAAATGCAACAACAACAATAACTTGACTTAAGGCATAACAAATTGACAACCGTAGGAGCAGAGGAGCAGAAAGATCAGCGAACTTTGAACTTCGACTACTTTTCGAGGCATTAACACACATACAAACACAAACATACATATATATACAAACAGTTATGGTGATGTTGTAAAGGTGCCTTAATAGAATTATAATTATAGTCGCTCGCTTTGGAGCAGAATTAAGGAAAAAATTATATTCCCAACAACAACAACAACAGCGATTGAAATAAAAAAATTTAATTTCGCCACGGATTGACCAGTTCGTACCACGGGTGCAAATGCCACCCAGCAATAAATGTTAATAACTCAATAATAATTTCGTTTGCTTAGGATAACAACAAGAAAAGCAAGAAACAAAAAAGTAAACGAGAATACTTCAATTATATAAAGGCGATAACTTGCTATTGCAACTATATGCAGATATATATGCATATACTATATACATGTATATATGTACATATATGTATATGTAAATACACAGTTGAACAATTCCAGTTTATTTATTTCTTATGTGTCGCGATCGTTGTGCCAGAATAAATCTAGGAAATGTGCAATTTGCTGGCATTAAACTTATTTGTTTCGCTTCTACTTTGCTCCCTTATTTTACTGTGATTTGTTTGCGCCGCAAATAATTTAGTTTTAGTTTTACAAATGAGTGTGCAAATCAGTTATGAATAATTCGTATTGACAGAACACACTAGGTATTGTCATTTATATATTTATATAAATTATGTATATTATATATAAAAAAGGTGTTTTTTTGGATTTATAGCAATTTTTTTTTTTTAGAATAAATTACGAAACAAATTTTAAAATACGAAATATTTTGACTTATTATTTCCCAAATTTTATGAGAATTTGCGTTCTCACAAAGCTGACAGCTACTATTTGTAATACGATTTGATCAGCAAGAGGCACGAATGATTTAGTTTTGTTAATGAGTTCTACAACATCCCCAAATAGTTGTATAGATTGTTTCCGAGTTGACAGTTTTTCACTAGATATAAATCAAAGTTCCTTTTGTTGTCGTAGAACTGACTGCATTGGAAAGTGACTGATGTTGTACTCTTCTTAAGTGGCAACATTAACTCCACATTAAGTCTCCAAAAATTTTATAGCAGAGACCATAACTTTTTCTGGATGAAAGGGGCCTAAAGAGTCAGCTCAGATAAGTGCTTAAAACAAGAAAAAAGTTATCGTCGGTAGATATGAGGAGTAAATCAACATAGATATATCAAAAATATAGTATATCTTTTAATTTGTCAATGTATAACGAGCATAAATGTATTTAATTTGACAGTTGGTTTGATAGTTGGGCTTCTTGAAAACCCTACACTGCTGAAAAAGCACCCTATAACATATAATTGCCGATTGAACCGAACATAAATGTCAAAACCGAATACCAACTTTTATAGCTAGTTTAACAGCTGGACTTCTAGATGACCAGTAACAATACAGCCTATACTGAATTATATGAATTTATGTATATATATATAGACTTAACCAATTAGAAAAAGTAAAATCATTTTAAATACAAGTTAAATGTCGATAGTCATGCGATTTCGCGTAAATCCAAAATTTCCTAGAAAATGCACATTAGAATTCAGCGCAAAAGAAATGAAAAATATATATAAAAAAATCTAGTTAATTTATATAAAAATTCAGACGGTCGCATATATGTATCAGATGTGCATTTGTAATGCATATATGTCATAAATGAATATTGACATACATGTATGACTATATAGTAAGAATATATAGAAGTGTCTATGAAAAACCCTTAAGCGTTTAGCGTAATTAATTCTAATAATTTGAATATATTTTACCTTTACACAGACATTTGGGTTAGAATTTTCAAGTGTGCAATATTCAGTTAGACTAGTAAAAACAACAAATTAAATTAATTGCCTGCCCATACAAATCTATAAACATACGTACGAGTATATATTGACGTACAAAGACAGCATATTACAGACAGACAGATGATTAATCACAATGTGGTTAATAATAATAGCGCGTTGCAAAATATTATACCTATGTGAGAATAATACTGTTGTTAGACGGCCAATTAAATATGAGTTTATGAAATATAAATATTAGTATAAATAAGCCAATTCAATTGCAGTCGTAAGTAACACAAACACACGCCTAGTATTGGATTAGTACGGCTGCAAATGGCTGGAAGCTTAAGCAAATGAGGAAATGCAATACAAATTTTCGCAAGTTAATTGGCAGTATAAATGCGAGAAAAAGCTAGAATAAGTGCAGAATCCAATAAATAATGATTGTTGGTAGAAAGTTAATAAAAAAAAACAGAAATATCCAGTAGTTAATATATCTAATATGGTTCATATAGTTCATATGGAATATTTGAGAACTCTCGTGAAATCAAGATGTTCATTTTTAATCACGTTAAAGCAGTTCTTCAGTTGTAACCTTTAATATTTGCATAACAGTAACAGTCTAAAAAATTGTATGAGCTCACATGTATAAAAATAACCGTTAGGGGCGCTGTACTGCAAAAACAAGGAAAATAACTCATTTGAAGAATATTTCGGCTTAAAAGACTGTAAAAACTAGTCTAGCATATAAATGTAATAACTGTTTCCCAAAATAATATATCATATATAACTGGCATACATCTGCACTTATATCATTAAAATGTCGTTAAATCGAAAAAAGTCTATGTTTCTCTGTTTTAGTTGGTAAAAGAATTAGTCATTGCTAGAAAACAGCATGAATACTACAAAAAATAATAACAAAATTAAATTTCGCAAAGAAGCTTACCTTCACTAGACAGACATTTTCATTCGTTTCGGTTTTCGTTGTTATTTTCTTTGATTTCTGCAAAAAAAGATGCATACGATTTTTTTTAGAATAATTTTTGAGAATTTTAATAAATACAAACATATTTAATGTCAACATTCTACAATAGAAGCATAAGTTATTATAGTGATCACTCGTAACAAAGTAATTCTGAATTGCATAAAAAATACCAATGAGTATAGTATTTCCATTTTGCCTTGAAAAATTAATTTGATATAGCATATATTTGTGCGCATATCAATTTGTTAAAGCATACATTTATGAGCAGCGGTTTTTTCGAAAGTTTCGCATACTTCTTCGCCTAACTATTTTACGATATTCACAATAGTATCAGTGATTTGTAAGAATTTTCTATACAAAAAATCTTATACACGTAGTAAATGTGCGAAGATCACTCTTTAGGGTGATCAAACTCTAAAGAACCTTCAGATATCCCAACTTTCGTATGATATTTTTAATCTTAAGTTAAGATGAAAAAATGTAAGTTGCAGAAAAAATATGTATCAGGAAACATGGTTTAGCAAACTTTTACTTAATTATAAACTATATAATACTAGCAGATCCATTTGCACTTGGGGGAAGGGGAAGTCATATAGAGGATGAGATACGAACGTCAAACTTTTGCATATTGTTTATTATATATTCAATTCCGCATACGACCGCCTCGTAGGTAGCCAACCAACACCTTTCTTCATGACATTGACTCGCCTCCCTTGGCCCAATGACGTCTACATAGCATATTAGGTTGCAACCTAACTGAGCTGATTCCCGCTCATCACGCGATTTTTTTCTAATACTTACATTTTTAAACTCGTGATACATTTTGAATAAAAATGTTTGAATAGAATAATTCAAAAGGTTATATAAAGGTATTGAATCAGTCTTGAATATGAAGTAATTAATTTGGTTAAGGATTAATACTAAGGGACATATAAGGAGCTTTTACAGAGACGGCATATTAATTTTTTTTCTTTTTGTTTTATAACTTATTGTGACATAATTATAATAGTTAGGCAGTTAGACTGTCGCAACATTTTTTTTAGATAATTTTATGTTTCGCCATGTCGTAATAAATTATTTTGTTCTTTAATCTATAGTATTCGCAGCGCACGCTATTTGAGGAATCTTTTAGGTCATATTTTTACATCTTGGTTTACATAATTGACGTTTTTACAAAGATCCCTAAACCTTTGGAAATTATATAACATATAACGGTAAAAAAAAATTTTCAAATCCATTTAGTAATTTTGCAGCCTATAAATATATATATTAACTATATTAATATTATATATATTAAAAGGAAAAAAACAATCAATTCTTTTTTCTTTATAATATTAGTATAGATAAAAAAAAGACAGTTAACCATTAGTTAGCAGATGGACAGAATAACATCGAGTATTTGATGGGATCTAGAAGATCTCAAAGTAGGTTATATGAGGTCAGATGATATCAAATGCTCACAACAATATCTACAAGAACTAATAATCTGATATCGCTGAAATATTTACTAAAATAACTGTCGTCTTGTGTATATGATTGGGCTTTCCAGAGTCACCAAGCATGCGCACAGTTAAATCTGGCGCAAAAACTACTTTTTAAAAACCACAACTGTAGTTAATACACCATTATGGGTATGAATCATATGTAAATATTTATGTTATTGAAACAACAAAGAAGCTTACAGGGCTACTAAATATATATGATACCGTGTGTCAAGCTTATTTATACACCAGCTAAAAATTCGAATAAAAATCTGCATAAAAGCTTATGCAGCAGAATTTAATTAAATGCCAATATTATACTCTGCGCCATTTGTAGTTGTCATTTAGAGCATTTTTCGCATTCAAATGTGCGCGACTCTAGATCTGTATGAGTGCCTGTGTGTGTCTTCCAATTTTATTGTCACAATTAGACGCGTATTAATGGTGTGCACAATTAGCTCGCCATTTCGCATTTTTACGACACAATTTGCAGCTAATGCTTCTTCTTCTTCTTCTACTACTACTACTTTTTCTTTCTCTTCTTATTATTTTTTCTTCTTCTTCTTCTTTCTTTTTCTTATTTTTCGTCTGCTTTATAGTAATACATATATACATAGATATAATTGTTTTTTAATAACGAGAAAGAACTCGCAAACCGGTTTCGCTCGCCATTAACATCCGCCGCCGTTAGACCTAACCGTCACCACTTCAACCACTCACCGCACCGATTTGCTCATATTACACGACAACTATTTTGAATACTTAATACATTTTATACTCAGGCATTTTGAGCAGTGAAAACGCTGCAATCATTAAAACGTCGCATTCAAATTAGCGGTGAACGAGTTTCCGAAAGCATTTCAGGTGACGCTTTGCACTCACACGCTTTACGCTTCACATACATACATGTAAGCTTATGTGTATGCGTGTGTGTGTTTGTGATCAAAACGCAGTTGCAGCCGTCGCCAGCGTCCACTTTGGCCTTGTCAGCGTGCGGCGCGTATGCGGAATTAAAATTGAAATTGGGCACTGCTCACACGCTCATTGGTTAGCTAGCTGGCTAGTGTGTTAGCTAGCTAGTTAGAGTGCAGCGCGCGGGTTGGGTGCGCGTTAAGACTGTCGCCACAAAATGTGACTTTGGCGGCGATCGCAATGCGCTTGAGCAGGCGCACACCTCAAAAGCAGCGACGACAGCAACAAAAACAACAACAAAAGCGAAAATAAATTTATTAGCAAAAACATCTATGTGTGTGCGTGTGTCTCCTTGTGTCAGCACACTTTGGTTATTTTGAAATTTACATTTTTCTAAATTTCAAATCAATTGCTTTCGATTTCAAGGTTTTCATTGCATTTTTCACATTAATTCCCAAGCGATTCTTCATTATTATTCTGAGCTGCAATGCATTTCACATTTTTGTCTACTTTTTATTTCAATTGCATTTTGTCATTGGTATAATGGCACCGGTCTACTCCAATGGCTTTTTTCTTAATAAAACTCGATTTTTTATAAACTAAAATAAAAAACCAAGAAAAAAAACTAAAACTCAAACTTTTTTCTATAAATTTAAATAAAATGTACAATGGGATTGTGACAACGGCATCTGTGTAGGTTTGTGATTGCAGTGGCAGCATATTGTCAATATCGTTTGGTGGCTGGTGTTTGTGTTGTCTACTGGGTTTCGCATTCATTTTAGCAATTAAATTCTGTGTGAAAAACCAGTTGAACCACAGAAATGTTTCCAATTTAATTATGAGTTTCTTAGCAAATTGCAATGATGCAACTTCTGGTGAATTCCTTAATTCTTCCTAAGTAATCTCGTTTCCCCCTATACATAGTTTGTATGTAATGGAAATTCGTGACTTGAACAGTGTAGTAGAGGTTTAGTTTGCTAGCTGCTTGCGTGGCTCAGAGTAATTTGAACACGTCACAAATAGAAATAATTATCGCGCTCTTAGCTAATACAAGTGGTATTAAATATATTGTACGGGGCGTATGAGTAATTCATGAGAGGGTTTAGAGATTACGCATAACAGGAATAATTAAGAAATATCTGGAATCATTATCAATGCAATTTAAAATTTAATACTGGTTGAAAATACTTGTATATGCCATAGAATTTTAGAGTTTGACTCACTTGTATACTTCTTTACCTATATTAACAATCTTAGTTCAAATTGGGGCTTAGAGAACAAGATGATTTTGTCTAATGCGCTGCGATGATTTCTGCATTATTTCCTGATCGAAATTTTCGATTAATCGATTTTTACTTGAGTTTATAAATAAACGAAAACTTCGATTAATCGAAAATAGAAATAATAGATTACAATTTTCTGTCGAAATGTGATTTTGGCCACTAACCAGGCTCCACAAATAATAAAAGGAATAGAATGTTTAATATATTTTAAACAATAAGTTTCACAAATGACATCAATACGCAACCCAGTACTTGACGATTAAAAAACGATAGGAAAATACTGATAGATTCAAATTGATGAAACTGACATTTTTAATTCGAATAATAAACTATATCATCTGAATATAGTAAATAACTTATTATATTTTATTTTATAACGAAGCCATGCGCTAGAATTTCAAATTAAGCAAAATTATCGATATAATGCAATCGTAAGTTAAAATCGATTCAGATAAAATAATCGATTACTTTCAAATTTTAACCTTAAACATTCTAGAAAATAAGCCATTCTTTAGTGTAAAATTATGTGAATATGATGGCACAAAAGCATCTTTAGAATAGCAATCGATATTAAAAAAAGCGACAAAAATGAAATTTATGAATTGATTTGGATCAAAATTAATTTAAATTTCGACATATAAAAGAAAATATTTAGATATTATTTTTAAGAAAATAATAATTAAAGCAAAATGTTTACTTGAAATTGATGAAATAAAAAAACAACGACTAAATTTTTACTGAAAAAACGGGGCAAAATGCATTGGATAAACTACTTAAATATATATTTTTTTAAATAAAAGTTTTAGAAAAATAATAATAAATAACAGTATATTGTTATGTCTGTCAGTCTTCTTCAAAAACAAATATACTCACTTAAAAATTAAAATAAGATATCGATAAAACAAAATAGAATTAATTAAAACATCGTTTAAATAAATTATCGATGAAAAATATATCGATAAAATAATACATGGATAAATAATTTAATAAATTCTTAAATATTATCAAACCAAATTTTTGTGCAGACGGCATTTGTCAAAGACATTTAAAATTCAACGAATTTCTTGATTAAAATTCAATTTATTTCTTAAGAAGACGTACTCATCTGTATACAGAAATCTGTTCAAATTAAGAATACGAATGCAGCACAATGAATTATTATTTTATGGCTCATGAAGAGCGCTTATAAGATTTCATACCACTTTCGAACGCCATAAATCGGCACTTATATGTGTCCAACTCGTGTGCGAGTAAAAAAACTGCGACTGCCAAGTACCGCAATTCAGCCACGACATCATCAACATTTAACGTTAACTAGATTATTGGTGGCTGGTGCTGCTGC